GACACATGCTGTTTTGATGATACATGTTCTATTTTGTATATATATAGTTAATAGAATTCAGTTCAAAGTCTAATGTTGAATTTACAGGTTCTTGAATGCTGGAGTATTTGGCAATGGAACAGAAAGTTGTCATACATTGCCACACTCAGCAACAAGGGCAGCTATGCTTGTTAGGATCAACACTCTGCTTCAAGGCTACTCTGGCATTAGATTTGAAATCTTGGAAGCAATTACAAAGTTGATCAACAGTAACATCACCCCATGTTTGCCCCTCCGTGGCACGCTCACTGCCTCGGGTGATCTAGTCCCTCTATCCTACATTGCTGGTTTGCTCATTGGTAGGCCTAATTCCAAGGCTGTTGGACCCAATGGTGAGATACTTAATGCTGAAGAAGCGTTTCGCGTTGCTGGTATTAGTGGTGGATTTTTCGAGTTCCAGCCTAAGGAAGGATTTGCAATTACAAATAGCACAGCAGTTGGTTCTGGTATGGCATCAATTGTCCTGTTTGAGTCCAACATTCTTGTTGTAATGTCTGAAGTTTTATCAGCGATTTTCGCTGAAGTGATGAATGGAAAGCCTGAATTCACTGACCATTTGACACACAAGTTGAAGTATCATCCTGGTCAAATTGAGGCTGCTGCTATTATGGAACATATTTTGGATGGCAGCTCTTATGTGAAGGCAGCTCAAAAGCTTCATGAAATGGATCCTCTTCAAAAACCAAAGCAAGATCGTTATGCTCTCCGAACATCTCCACAATGGCTTGGACCTCAAATTGAAATCATTCGTGCTGCAACTAAGATGATTGAGAGGGAGATTAACTCAGTGAATGACAATCCGTTGATCGATGTTTCAAGAAGCAAGGCATTGCATGGTGGTAATTTCCAAGGCACCCCTGTTGGTGTCTCTATGGATAATACAAGATTGGCTCTTGCATCAATTGGGAAATTGATGTTTGCTCAGTTCTCGGAACTTGTCAACGACTATTACAACAATGGGTTGCCATCTAATCTCACAGGAGGAAGGGATCCAAGCTTGGACTATGGTTTCAAGGGAGCTGAAATCGCGATGGCTTCTTACTGCTCGGAACTTCAGTTCTTGGCAAATCCAGTCACTAACCATGTCCAAAGTGCTGAGCAACACAACCAAGATGTGAACTCCTTGGGCTTAATCTCCGCTAGGAAAACAGCTGAGGCTGTCGATATCTTGAAGCTAATGTCATCAACCTATTTAGTGGCACTTTGCCAATCTATAGACTTGAGGCATTTGGAGGAAAACTTGAAGAATGCAGTAAAGGACACAGTTAGCCAAGTAGCAAAGAGAACTTTGACAATGGATGCTAATGGTGAGCTTCATCCAGCAAGATTCTGCGAAAAGGAATTGCTTCTAGTCGTGGACAGGGAATACTTGTTTGCCTATGCTGATGATCCTTGCAGTTCCAACTACCCTTTGATGCAGAAGCTGAGACAAGTCCTTGTTGATTATGCAATGAAGAATGGTGAAAGTGAGAAAAATGTGAACAGCTCAATCTTCCAAAAAATTGGAGCTTTCGAGGACGAATTAAAGGTTGTGTTGCCTGATGAAGTAGAGAATGCAAGAGTTGTTCTTGAAGGTGGAAGCCCTTTAATTCCTAACAGGATCACAGAATGCAGATCATATCCATTGTACAGGTTTGTAAGGAAAGAACTTGGAACAGAATTGTTGACAGGAGAAAGAGTCCGATCGCCCGGCGAGGATGTTGACAAGGTGTTCACAGCATTGTGCAATGGACAAATCATTGATCCATTGTTGGAGTGTCTCAAGAGCTGGAATGGTGCTCCTCTTCCAATCTTTTAGGTGTCTTGCAAAAAAAAAAAGACCTTTTTTGAAAGCAATGGTGAAAAAGATGTCCTGTATTTGGATTTGGCTTTGTTTTTTTTCTTGGATATGTTTGTTTCAGGTTGTTTAACACAAGACAACAATAAATATGTTTTTAGTTTCAAATAAGTTGGGTCTAAGAATCCTCATTTCTATATTAAAGTTCAACTCATGTCATCACCATTTTATATTACCAAAAAGTTCATCTCATGTCCAACTGAGGCAATTTAACAACTTAGACCAAGTTTTTTTAAAAAAGAATGGCAATGGATACTAAAAGCTGAATGTTTCTTGGTTAGATAT